CACACACACACACACACACACACACACACACACACACACACACATAGGATTTGCTCCCTCCTCTTAAAACTTAGCACTGACTCAAACACTCAGCATAGCTGGCTTTTACTACTGCTGGAGGGTCCCAGGTCCTGGGAGAACAGAAAAGAGCAAAGCAGAGAGTGAAGGCGAGCAAGACAGGTGCGTGCAGGCAGGCAGATATGAGAACGATCCTATTCAGATTTGGAGAGGGCACTGAAAGACTTTGCTAAGGAGTAACCCATGACTCCACACTAGAGGATAAGCAGGACTTCTTAGGGTGAGAGCAGGGATCAGGGAACAGCCTGTGCACAGGGACAGGAAAGAGCCTGGCACACACATGTACCAAGGGCCAAAAACAAGGATCGCAAATGCAGTGAGAGTACCCTACGAATCTTCCAGCTCAGTTAAGCTGCATATGGAATATTGGGAATATCTGGTACCCTATGAATCTTCCAGCTCAGTTAAGCTGCATATGGAATATTGGGGATATCTGGGCTGGTCTTAACTAAAAACTTTAAGACATGATGGGACAGGTCACAGACAATGAGGCTGCCACACAGGGAGGTTTCCTCTCCCCGAGGAGCAGAGATCTGATCCAGAGGTCTACGGGTCTTTGTTATCATTGTCACTGTCCCCTTTTCCCAGAGAAGTCAGAAAATGTCGCTTAAAACTATTGCATTGGAACATAAATATTTATTTTATGTTCATTGATGCATCTGTGTGAGTCTCTGGCTCGCCTTGGTCTTCCGCAGATCCCTTCAGATCTCAACTTTAAGGATTGGTTGTGTTTCCTCACAGTGTGGAATGCCATGCTTGGGTCTCAAAGGCTCCCAAAGGCCATGTCCTAAACGGTTGGTCTCCAGCCTGCAGTAGTGGGACCTTTAAGAGGTGGGGCCTGGAGGGAGGAAGTTAGGTCATTGAAGAGCGGGCTCTGGAAGAGGATGTTGGGATCCTGCTCCCTCTTCTTTCTCTCTCCCCATGAAGTCAACAGGTTTCCTGTGTCACCGGTTTCTCTTTTGATGGACTGCCTCACCACAGGCCCCAAAGCAATGTGGCCCAGTGACCATAGGCTGAAACCTCTGAAACTATAAGCAAACATAAACCTTTCCTCTTTGAAAATTGATTTTCTTAGGTATTTTGATACAGTGACAGAAAACTGACTTTGTCATCATCCTGCCTTTGGATCTTGGCCTGGCCTAAAAGGAAGTCACAGCTCACCACCTCCTCAGTGTCCGAAGACTCTATCTCAGGGTTTGAAGTAAAATGGGATAAGCATCAGGTGTGTGGGGTTGGATCTCTGCCTCTGCCCCTTATTGAGTGGCTTCGAACATCACTTACCCTCCTGAGATCTGTTTCCTCATGGTTACAAAAGGGTGGGTGGGCTCTGTGGGGATTCACATGAACTGAGCATGGACAAGAGCAGTGCCTGGCCCTGAGGAGATGCAGTAAAGGGGGGTGCATGACCAACCTCAGGCTTGCTGTCTGCAGGGCCCCCTCCTCACGGGGGCTTTTCCTGATAATCTAGCTCTCTACAAGTGCTGATTGATAGGCTCCTCTCTTCACGGATGCTCCTGCAGTGGTGACGGTTTGTGGATTAGGGTAATTGGTGTTTTCATTCTTTGTAGCACCCTGAGGTGATTTTCCCTTTATAGGAAAGTCCTCAATAAATGACTAATTAAATCCCATAAAATACAATTTTTGGAGCTATTTTTCATTCAAGTAGGAAACCACGACTGTTCGTGTTGTGTTTAGATCACAGCATACCTGGAACCCACTGATTCACTTACCAAGTCTCAGAGCCGTTCATTTTCTCATCTCCCGTGTGCCTGAACCCTGGTGGAGACTGGGGGTGAAGGCAGAGGGGGGCGGGAAAGAGCCTGCCTTACCTGCAGGGTTGGCCCAATGGCAAATGCTTTCACTTAAATTTCCCTCCTCCCTGGAGACAGATCCTGTGGTTTGGTTCCCATTCTGTAGAGAAGGAACCCTGGGCTCAGGCCCTTCTGTGTAATTGTGTTAGTCAGCTCCTTCCCTGCTGTGACGAAAGGATCTGACCAGCACAGTTCCTTACAGAGGGGGAGAGTTTATTTGAGGGCTCCTGGTTTCAGAGGTCCCAGCGCATAGAAGGCTGGCTCCGTTCCTTGGGGCCTGAGGCCAGGCTGAACAGCATGGTGGAGAGGGTGGCAGGGGGACGCAGCTCACATTGTGATAATTCCATAAGCCAGAGAGAGTCCACTCTCCAGATATAAATACCTACCCAAAGCCACACCCCAGTTCCCACCTCCCCAGCCACACCCACCACTTTGGTTACCACCCAGTTAATCCCTATCAGGGGATTAACTCACTGACTGGGATAAGGCTCTCACAACCCAGTCGTTTCTTCTCTGAACCTTCTTGCATTGCACCACGTGAGCTTTTGGGGGACACCACATCCAAACCATAACAGTGATTGACAAAGTCATGTGCCCAGGAAATGCCTGGGATTTGAAGCCAGGTACGTTGGGTTTCAAAGTGTCTGGCCTCTCCACTGGCTCGTACACTGTTTCCAAAGAGGAATGAAAAGGGCCATTTTTTTTCTGGAAGGCCTCGATTCTGCCGAACTACAGAGAGTTCAAACTGAGCAAAGGCTGTAAAGGGGCCAGGCTGTCTGTTTTTTGAGTCCTCATGAAGCTCAGTGGTGGGTGACCTGGGCGTGACTGTGTTTTCTCCAAGGCAACAAGTGTGGGCAGGTAGAACGTGGGTGCTCAGGGCGGGTGGAGTGATGCTCTTCAGAATGCGGTTGGCCTGGGAAGGGGCCGAGTCCAAAGCAAGCGCCATGAACAAGGTACTCACAGTCTCAACAAATCCAAAGGCCAAATTCTAACGTGTTTTGTTTGATTTTGTGATGCCAGAGACAGAACTCGGCGTCTCATGCATGCTAGGCACATGCTCTGCCTCTGAGCTTGACTTGTAGTCCCCAAATTCAAAGTTTTAAAGATAAGTTTCAATGACACCGAGTTCCCACTGAGAAGTGCACAGACCCCCGTGTCATTGCTAAGTGGAGGGCTCACACCACTGGTTCTCTCCTTGGCCTGAACACTAAAATGATCTGGGGCAATGTTAACAAATACTAACGTCTGGAATTTACACCCCAAATATCTATTTCATGGTCTATAAATTTCAACCTTACTAGGCATTTGTATTTTTTTAAATCTCCACAGGTGGATCAAACATGCAGAGGAACTTAGAAATCACTGACAGGGAGAATCCTCTTATCTACCATGGACCTCTTTTGCCCAGGAGCAATTTGAAGGATGAGTCTCATGGTGACACCTTCATCTTTTCCTCTTTCCCTGTCAATGACGGCTCCTATCTCACTTCCAGACTTATCATTTCCTGTCTCCTTCTTGTCCTCTGAGGGCTGTTACTGGCAATTTAACCCCAAACACCAAATCCCTGCCATCTTCTAACCCAGAGAACATTCTTATTTTTACAAAGGGTCATTAATGAACTAATAACCACAACAAAGACGCAGGGGACACATGGGGTCTTTTGAGGGCTTCCAAGAGGAAATTCAGGGCTGTTATTGTAGATAAACGAACCCACTTTGTATTCCTTGGAAAACAAACTTCTGATCCTAAGTAGAAGCCCATGCTTGAATCTTTAAATTATATCATCTCTGTAGGTAAAAATGAGCTTTTTTTAGAAGTAAGGCAACCTCACAAATGTTAGCTGACCACAAAATTCCAAAGCTCCAAGGGGACGCTGTCAGGGGAGAGAGCTGATCTGGACTCCCAGGCTGTGCATTGTAACCATTCTGGCCGTTCCCCCCACCACCACCCTCAAAGACCTGCCCTGGAGCAGGTGGGGAGAACACAGCCAGAGGCAGGACAGCAAGGCAAGAGAGCGCTTCTGTTGCTCAGCCTGGGGCAGGTGTGTGCCCAGGGAAGGCTTCTGGTGGGAGACAAGGCCTGAGCCGAGACTTCCAGGGCATAGCAAAGCACCAGGGAAAGGCGTGCCAGGCAAGCGGACCCGAGAGAACACAGGTGCAGAGAGGGGAAGAGCTGAGGAGATCCCTGCACTGGACTCCAGAGCCCTGGATGATTCCCATCCCAGCAGGGCGCTGATTAAGTCCTCTGTGGACAAAGAAGATAGGTCACCACCCCGCCACCGGCTCCCTGCTTCCCCAGCTGTGAGAAGTGGGGTGATCCTGCCTCCTCCTCCCGCCTGCCGTGACTCTAAGTTCATGAGCACTTGCCCGCCCCTGCCCTGTGCAGAGCCCACGGAGCAGTCACATCTGCCTGGAGATGGTTTGCCAGGTGACACCTCCTCCTCAGGCAGCAGGGGACAGAGGAAATGAAAGTGAGCCTTGTTCCATAAGCCAGCAGAGCACAAGTGTGTTCTGCTCAGAGTGGCGCGGGGCCTCCGCCTGCCCTCGCCGTCACACTGGGCAACATGCTTGGTTCCACTTGTGACTCAAACTGTCAGCCAGAGAGCAGCCAACTGCGTCCTGGTGGGGTTGAGGCTGGGCTGACTCGGACAGGGCCAAGGTGGACCCTGCCTTCCACTTGGCCATGGTTAGCGGGTCTTGGTTCATGGCTGCCCGGGAGTGGACGGAAGGGTCTTCAGGGATGTTTCTCTTTGATTTCCTGCCTCTTCTTTCTTCTGGAAAAAAAGTTTAACAAAACTTGTTCAGAATCCAAAGACAACAGCCTCCTCTGGCTGGCACAAGGGGGGTCTCCCTCCCAGGCTCCGCTCTCACTCACGGAGCACAGTGCCTGTGCCTTCTCCTGCCCCAGCTCCCAGGCAGGCCTCATGGACCACAGCTCCCTGGCTGCTGTTTGACTGCCTGCCTGGCCCTGAGCAGAACGGCAGAAAGCTAACTTTGATGGAGCACCTCCTTGTGTCTGTCTCCTTGGACGAGGCCAATGTTCCCATCCACCGTGTCACATGTGTGTCATTATTATCCCATTACTCCCGTCTTACCAGGGAAAAGTCATCAGCTCTGCCGGTGAGCCCGGCCTGCACTGCCTTCCTGCATGTTTTGCCTGAAACAGAAAACGTGTCTGCAGTCACCTGTGCTGCTGGAGGGGCAGACCCACACCACCCCAGGCTTATGCAGTAATAGCAACAAAACAAAGACCAGCAGTATCTTAAGCATTTGAAAACCCATTTTTTTACTCTTCAGACAAATCTCTATTAGACTATAGGAAAAAAAAAAACAAGTAAACAAACACAAACAACCCTCTGTCTGTGGTAGAAGTGCCAATCCTTTGGGCAATGACCTCCCTCTGATGTCACAAACACCTTCTGTGCTCACTCGTCCACGAGGACCGGGGCTTCTTGGAACCTGCCCCAGACCCGCTCCTCGTGGGCTGAATTGTATGTCCCTAAAATTCACTCACCAACTTCCTCACTCCAGTGTCTCAGAATGTGAGTGTGTTTGGAGACAGGAACTTTAAAGAGGTAATTAAGGTAAAATGAGGTCATTAGTGTTGGCCCTAATCCCAGGACTGGTGTTCTTTTAAGAAGAGGAAATTTAGACAGACAAAGAAAAGGAAATTTGGACACACAAAGAGACACCAGGGAAGTGTGTGCAGAGAGGAAAGACCATGTGAGGACACGGCCACAGGCCCATGCACAAGCCAGGGAGAGAGGCCTCGGAAAAACAACGGGGCCAACCCTTGAACTTGGGCTTCTAGCCTCCAAAACTGAGAAAATAAATGTCCACCATAGAAGACACCCAATTGGTGGCATGTTGGTATGGAAGCCCTATGGACATAACACACCCCCATCCAAACCCTCTCTCTCCCCCAAGGGGGGGTAATTTTCCCCCCACCAACTGCTCATGTTATGGCACTTGAACATGTTTGCATCTTTTCCTACCAGGGTGATCATTTAATAGCTGTAAATAAAGCAGACCTGCAGGAAGTGGGAAGCATTACTTCGGACACTTCTTTTTTTATGTTACTGACTTTCAGAGACATACAATTTTTAGAAGTCCTACTCCCACCAAGCCAGAATTTCCCTTTTCCTTTTGTCTTCTTCTCTGTCCCTTATTTATGATGATTTTCATAGCCAGATGCTTTGGACCTATGTTTTCTCACCGCTGGTTAGAAACGACCACACCAGACACTGAAACCTGTTGTAGAGGTCAAGTGTTGATGGAATTTACAAACTCACTTAGCAGAGAGCTGGGCACTCGTGGTGGTTCACTTAGTGATGATAAATTTCTCATTTTTTATCCAGTCTCCTCTCAGAGCATCTGAGTGAAAGTGAAGGGAAATCTTTAAGAACCATCAAGATGATGTATTAGTCTGTAGAGCTGCCATAGCAAAGTACCATAGACTAGGTAACTTCAGAGGCGGAAATTCATCATATCATAGTTCAAGAAGCCACAAATCTAAGATCAAGGTGTCGATAGGATTTGTTGCTTCTGAATCTGTCCGTGCCTTGGCTTCTGGTGGCATGCTGGCCATCTTCGGAGATTCTTGGGTTGGAGAAGTGTCGCCTCCATCTCTGCCTTCTTCTTCACATGACAATCTCCCTGTGTGCATCTCTGTTTTCAAGCTTCCCTTGTTGAAAGAAAATGCCAACCCTACTGAATTCAGGTTCATCTATTGACCTTGTCCCAAATAAATACATGGCAAGGAAACTATCTCCATAATAAAGTCTTATTCTAAGGGACTGGGGGACAGGACTTCAGTGCATGAAATAAAGAAAGGGTGGGGGGATACAATTCGAATACCCAGAGTTATCTTCTGATGAATGATAGAATTCCATTCACAACCTTCCTAGTCTTCCGGCCCAGTGATGGAAAGATTACTGCCTTCCCGGGAATTCCTCTCGTCTGTGGATATCTTACAACTTTACTGCTTCTTCCTATATAATTCCAATGCTCACGGCCACAACATTGACCAACTTTATTTTCCTTCTGATTCATCTAAGTAATTTAAAGAAAACTGCTCTTGGTGGGAGTGCCCCGGCTCCTTGAAGTCCCCATCATAACTGTGATCGCCCTGACTGCTCACCGGATCATATAGTAAGTTTGGAAGGAAGGCTGATGCCCAGGACCACTGCAGGCCAATGATAGAATCAGGGGAGAAAACAAACTTTGGTTTACTTGTGAAACCCACAAGGTGATTTCAGTGTACAGTCAAAGGTTAGCACCTCCTGAGGTGCTGGGGGCTTGTCTCGTCTCTACAGCTGAGGAAACCAACCCTGTGCCATGTGTTCTACAGTCACCTATGCCACACAGGCATCCAACCTCAAAAGGCTGGGAAAACCCAAACTGAGTTTGCGTCAAATATTTCTTCCTTTGGTTTTAGTTGTAAATACATTATCTTTAAGAGGCAATGTGAACCATCTGTTTTTGATTCAGTGACACTGAAGTCATCATTGGAATGCTATTTTGTAAAAAGTTTGTTGATGCCCCAGGATTACATTTGAAAAGACCTGGTTGCTCAATCTGGAGGTGAGGGGGTGGGTGGGGAGTCAGAGCTGAAGCCTCAAAGGGTCCAGCCAGTTTCCAAACATGTACTCCATGAGTGGCAAACCACAAAATAGCTGACTTCTTTATTTTTAGGATCGGGGTCATGCTGATAGATGCACTGGGACAAAGGAGTGGGGTTATGAGGCTGTGAGGGACTTATGGATAGCCTGTATTCCTTTGTCCCATTCATATTGGTATAAAAGTTCAGACCTCTTTCATGCCCACACATGCTTAGCACGAGGTCTTTACAGCATTCACTTGTCAAATTTACACTGATTTTTGCCAGTTCAGTCTTATGGAAAACAGAGTCAGAAATGTCTCATTCTGGGAAAGCTCTGAGCTGAAAACAGTTCAATTCACCAAGAGCTCGGAGGGATATAGATATCATTAATGAAGATCACCCTACAATTCCGTACCTAGGATGTAAGAGAACATCTAATGCAGTTCTTTCAGGGTACAGATAGGGTGACAGAGATGATGAGGACCACAGAACTATTTCCATATCCAGGGCAGAGACAAGGTCTTTTTGCTTCCCAGGGATGTCTTCCAAACTCCATCTTGCTAGGAAATGCCCGGAGGACAGTAGACATACAAGCAAGATATACTCCATTTTGCTGCAGGGGAGTTGACTGGGGCACCCTCCCGTTTGACATCAAGTTGTTGTGCTAGGTTTTCTGGGCTGTCAGAGGCAGACGGCAGTGTGTGCTCCACAGCAGATGACTGCCAAAGACAATGCACTCAACATGGCCCGAGAAAATGGTAAGACCAATCAGGCTGGGGAGCTTCAGTAGGAGCCTGTCTCAAGTCCAGACGAAAGGGGAAGATGTTGCCCAGGCAAGGGACCGAGGAGCAGGGTCATTGGCACTGGGTACGGCATCGTGGAGCCACAGTCTCTAACCTCAGCTAACCATCAAAATGATACAAGAGGAGTAAGATCAACACGGAAGCCCCGGCTCCCTCTTCCTTCCCATCCTCTATGATTCTAATTGGTCCAAAATGGGACCTAGAAATTATTATTTCTTAAACATTTCCCTTGTTACATGTTTGAAAGTCCAGGAATGGGAAATTGGCATAGCGATGGTGAGAACTGGCATCAGAGAAGGCCATGGGGACTGGGGGGAGTCACCCAAGAGTGATTAGAAGGGACTTAGTGACTGACTGGGTGAGGGAACGAGAGGAATGGAAGCCTCTGATGTGGGTGGTGTGGCAGGTGAGGGGTCTTTTCATTGGGATGCAGATAGCACAGGATCCGTGCTGGCTTGATGGGAATGATGAGGAATTGACCTTTAGGTCTGTTGAGGGTCAGAGTGGCACTGCGTACAGCATTGTGGAGTCACGGTCTCTAACCTCAGCTATCCATCAAAATGATAGGAGTGTGGAGTGTGAAGTGGGTGGGGTGGAGTAGCGTTTGCAGTAGGAGATCATTGGAAGGGCCCTGGGGCTTGGCACACAGCCCTGTGGTGGGGATTGCTGTGTGTTAATATTTCCATCCCTGATCTTTAAGTAAGATGAGAAATAAGTCCAGGATAAGGGCATACACCAAGCCTCGGCGAGCACTGAACTGTCAACGTGTTCACCACGACTCCTGCCTCACGCTTGGCCAGATGCGTCATACTCCACTTCTCATTCAGGTGCCCTGTCACCCCAGGTTTCTGCGAATATGCTGCTTTTAATCAGCAAAGGCCTGTCCTAATCCTAGAGACCCTGGTGGATGGAGGGTGGGAACTGTGGAAAGGGAGTGGGGGGAATGGCTGTGAAGGCCTCTCATTGTGTGTAGGTGGTTCTGAAAAGAGGAAGAAATAGAGACCAGTAACAGAAACATCAGGGGCTGGAAAACGATACAAGCAGAGCCTCAGATACGGGTCTCACCCAAGAGATAAGCAAACACCCGAGCTGACATCATGCCCCAGCTATCACCAAACACAGCTGAAGCCAGACCACCAAGGAGGGCCTCCGAGGCACTGTCCTCCGCCTGTGCTCTGCTAAGAAAAGCTGTCCTGTTTGATTGGGGAGTGCAGCTCTGGCAAGAACAAGGAGGCCAGCTTGAACCACTTGTGAGTGACTGGCTGAGGATGGGTGCCTGTCTTTCCCTCGGGTGAGAGAGTGGACGTTTACTTGTTAGGAAAGACACAAACATTTGCAATTCGGTTTCCCTGTGATGGCAGCAGGAGACCCATGCTACCCAGGGACTCCAACTTCTGCTCATCCTCAGTGAAAGCTCATCAAAACCTGCCCCCATAGAGGACTTCTCCCAGGGCCTAGCTCCTTCTGCAAGCTGCTCAGATCTGAAGTTCAGGGCTGAGAATGCACAGGCTCTCTCAGACATGAATTGCCCTCCTCTAACCCCTGCAAACTTCAGTAGGGTTTGGGGACCTATTCTGACTAGGGGATGGAACTGTGCTCTGGAAGTGACAGGACTTTGGGCGGCTGAGTTCAAAGGTCTGACTTGTTCATGTTTTCTGTTTCTTCCCTTTTCTCTCAAGGCATGAACATATCTGCAAGCTGAGGCACTCTCAGGACTGGGAGGGCCACCATGAGTCACCTTGAAATTATTAAAACCTTCGTGGTAGGCTGCCAGGGTGTGTAAAATTGTTACGCCAAGTGCCAGGACCTCCATATTAAGTTTGAGCTCTGCTGTTTACTAACTTTAACACTACAAAGTGCTCACTTCATCCTTTGGATAACAATTTTCTCTTGTATATAGCAAGGAGAATAATACCTGACTCTTTTTTTTTTTTTTTTAGATTGAAAGCTAAAGTTACTTTTAATAATGTCAACTTGCTCATTTAATGCCAGTGACTAGACCTTGACTAGGTAAGGAAGGTACTACCCAACATTGGACTCCACCCGCGAAGCATGTGTGATTTTTGTGTGGCTCCTGTGAGATGCTCTTGTCATCTTATTTGGGTATCCCCAAGCTTTAAGCAATCCAACCCAACAGGACCCAGCTCAACATGGGCATGTTAGAGCACTAGCCCAATGGAAAACTAAGGTGACCCTTTTAACATTTAGCCTTGAAATGATTCGCATGCTTTCCCATGCATATTACTCTTAGAGCTCAGTTAACAAATGGCAATGATTCAAAGAGAGTCAGTGAGACACAGTCCTTGGCAAGGCAGAAAAAGACACCTGATAATTCAATGTAGGCTAACATTTGTTTCTTCTGATCAAGCCAAATAAAAACTGTGATGCCGAAGAGCTGAATGTTCTCCTACCCTAACCTAGGTTTGCTCACATGGCCCAGTCCTTTAATTTACAGTATCGTTTTTTCATAGACTTCCATATTTCAACTAAGCTGATCCTAGGCATTTTTTCAGTAAGAAGTATATTTAGAGATAGGGCAACCCTGACTTCATCTTAAATGGTACATGGTTTTTTAAAATCAGACTTCTCTGAATCCAGGTCAGGGCATCTGGAGCAGAGTTCTGCCCTCTCTCCTGAATCACAAACGTGGGCACTCTTAAAGTGCAATAAACAGCCTGCTCCAGAGAACAATGCCCTCATTGTTAATTGCTCCTTTGCAGAGCTGGGCTTTCTGCACCGTGTGCCCTGGTGAGGAGGCTGAGCCACTCCTGGAAATGCGACTGCTCACTCCAGCGCTTCTGCAGCGACTGCAGTCCAGCTCCTCACCCATCCTGTCAGGGGGAACTAATTGGATGCAGCTGGATCATTCCAACCCTCTGAGCCTGAATTTGCTGGAGAAAGAGGTGTGAGAAAAGCAGTTCCCACTGCATCCTGTCTGAGCCTAAGGGCCATGGCAGACCCCTGAGATAACGGTTAAGAATCTGAAGTCTCTGCATGCATTTTCCCAGCTGCCAAGACCCAGCTCGACAACGCTGAGGTCATTCTCTAAGAATGCCTGCAGACTAAATTTAGCTCCAGTTTGAATCATTGGGAATAAAAATTAATAATGGTGACAGTTTATAGTGTTACTTACTTTCCAAAGTATTTTCATTCATACTATCGGTTGATTGATACTGATTTTGTTCTGAAAACAAGATGTTTTAGAGTAGGACACAGACGGGGTAGGTAACATTGTGAGAACAGCACTCAGGTTCAAAACCCACACTGTGAATGACCAGTGTGTGATGCTGGGCGAGTCCCCTCAAATGTACCTGAATCTCTGTTTTCTCAGGTTACAAAAGCATATAAAAAATCAGACTGAGGACTAAAGCAGGGTATTGTAACTGGTATTATCAGGTAGTCATAAAACTGGACATTTTTATATATTCTTTCCGCGTTTTTCCTTTGTCCTTTCTTTTTCTTTTTCTTTTGAAGACCAGAAGGTCTACATACACAAGAGTGCATGCTTTCCAAGAGCTTCCTTGGAGAGGAACGCATATTTATTCCTATGGCATTGTGACTCTCAGAACGTGTTTGGCTTCCAACTAGGAGGTGACATGTCTCCCTCATGAAACACTTGAATTCGTATGACATGATTACATCATCCCATTTTTTGTTTTAATTTATTTTTATCCCGTTGATAAGTTGTCCCATTTATGTAATTGCCTTGACTTTGAATGAACTTTGGCTCTTTACAAAAACCAAATCCTTCTGCAGAGTCCAAAGATTTACATCAGGAGGAAATCACAGTTTGCTCCTTCTTGCCTCAAATCAGTCCCTTACAGATTGTGAGCCATCACGGTACAAAGGTTTTTGCCTTCCACAATACGATGATCTACCACAGAGAGAACCTTCACTGATTGGATGCCTCGTGTCTGCCATGCTCTGTGTTGGGTGTATTTTGTGCAGGTCTAATTTCTTCTTCATGATAGTTTTGCAAGATAGATAATGATATACATGCTAAAGGGGACACACTGAAGCTTGGGTACTTTTAACTGGTTTTCACCTACCTGGTAGAGGCAGAGCTACAATTAGACCCCAATTCTTCCTGAGTCCAAGGTCTGTTTCTTTTCTGCCACACCAGCCTTCTCCATCCACTTGGAATGCACCCCAAAGGAGGAGCCTCATGGCTCTGCAGTCCCAACTTGAGTCACTTGCTCAATCAGCAGTGTCTGTTGAACCCTTACTTTGGATGTGGTTCTGAAGCAACCTGTGAGAGATCCAGGTCATTATGAGATACACAAACTTCTCAGGTTACAAATCTCCAAAGTGTTCTACTTCCTCAGTGCCTGAAACAGTGTGCCATAATAGTATCACACGCGTACTGAGTTTTAACTGAATATGACACAAAATTAATTCTTTACATGCTACCAATCAATGACTCTTTGACCTTGGAACAACCATAGTAGTGTTTTAGCTGGATCCAGATAAGATCAAAAGGAAACCGGAACTAGACCTTCCTGTTACCTGTTGCCCCAAATGTACCCTTAGGCATGAAATTTCGAAAAGTGGTGCCAAAAACACATACATTTTTAATTATATTTATCCTTTGGTTTTTATTAGAAATTTGGCAATACACATGTGATTCCTGACTTGTGATGGTTGGATTTAGGATTTTTTTTGCTTTATAGTAGTGTGAAAGAAATGCACATTCAGTAGAAACCACGTGTCAGATTTTGAACGTGGATCCTCCCCCAGGCCAATGATTTGCAGTGTGGTGTTTTCTTGTGATGCTGGACTGGCAAGGCTTCAATCAGTCACTTAGTCATCAACAAAAACAAAGAAAATGCTACAGTGATGTTGCTGAGCTGTGGTCTTCAGTAGATTAGGTGCATTAAATGCGTTTTTCAATTTGGATATTTTCAGAATGACATTGTTTTAGGACATAGTTCCATCTTACATTGAGCTACAACTATATTTTAAGGATCAAAAATAACAGTTTTAGAATACATATCTACTCAATATAGAAAACAGGAGAAGATCTACCATCCCACCTGAAAAAAATTTAAAAATGAACAAACAAAATATACAGGAAAATTGTTTCCAATGCACCAAACATCAGGCAAAAGTTGTGACCAATGAGAGATGGAAAAAAAATTGAATAAACCCTACACTTTTTCCAGCTTCCTACCATGGCAGTCTGCAGAAAGCTGTATCATGTTCCTGTTAGATAAATCAAATCCATTTTGGCTATATTAATATCAGATGAAGTAGACTTTAGAGGAAAAGGTATTGCCATGAATGAAGGAGATAATTTCATAATGATAATGATAGAGTATGTGAAAGTTCTATACATTGAGAATGACACAAAATTGCATAGGGAAATTAGAAAAGACGTAAGTAAGTACAGAGATATGATATTTTCCTGGGTCTGAGACTCACTATTGTTAAGTTGTAAATTATCCCCAAATTAGTCTATAGATTCAATGTAATCCAATCGAAACCTCAACGGACACTTTGGTGGTAATCACACATCATTTATAAAATTCATTTTAAATCACACAGAACTAATGATAGCCTAAACAAAAAATTTAAAAGGAACAAACATGGAAGACTACTCCTTCCTAAGCTTAAGACTTATTATAAGAATGTAGCCCAGGAAACAGTAGTATCTGTGCTTAGATGGAGTGAGATAGATCAGTACAACAGAAGAGAGGGTCCAGAAATTCACCCACATGTGTTGGGATGATGGGCTCACAACCAATGTGCACAAGCAACTCAGCGAGAAGGACAGCCTTTCTAGCAGATGTCGCCGCACCATTTGATACCCGGGGGGAAAATAACACGAACTTGGCCCTACATCTTTCACCATGTGAAAAATAATGTGAAATAGATTATCGACTTAAATACAAAGCCTAAAACTATAAAATTTCTAGGAAAAAAAAAAACATTGTGAGCTTGGGTTAGGCAAAGATATGATACTAAATATAAGAACCAGAAAAGTACAAATTAATAAATTAGACTTCATCGAAACCACTGTTCTTGAAACACTATTAAGAAAATGGATCTAAGTATTTGGCAAAGGTCTTGTATCCAGAATACAGAACAACTGTTTAAAACTTGTCACGAGGGCTGGGGTTGTAGCTCAGTGGTAGGGCACGTTCCGCACTCATATAAGGCCCTGGGTTCCATCCTCAGCACCACATAAAAATAAATAAATAAAGGTATTGTGCCCATCTTCATCTAAAAATGTTTTAAAAATAAATAAACAAGTCCTAAATCATAAATCATTAGGGAAATGCAGGTTAAACCACACAAAGACTCATATTATACCTATTAGAATTACTAAACTTAAAAAGAACCACCATATCAAATAATGGTGAGGACACAGAATGCTCATGCACTGCTGACGTGGTGTCAAATGATAAAGGCACTTGAGAAAATAAATGGTTCAGCAGGTTCTGAAAAAGTTCAACATGCATCTATCACTCAGCCCATTCTGTGACTACTTATTTACCTAACAGCAAAAAAAAAAAAAAAAAAAAAAGCATCTTTCTGTACAAAGACTTATTGGCTAATGGTCAAGGCAGCTTTCTTTGTAATAGATAAAACCCCTAGGAATAACCCAAATGCCAATAAATAAGAGGTGAATGCATATACAAACTGTGGTATTGTGGTATGTCCATAAATGGAAGAAAGAACCAAAATACTACTGCATTGTAGATGAGTCAGGAAACAATAAAGCTCTGGGAAAGAAGGCAGGCTAAAACACAGCACATACCACGCAATTTCACTTAGATAAAATCCCAGAAATGTGAGCTACTTGGCAATAGAAGAAAGTGCACCACTGTTTGAGGCATAGAAAAGTAGAAAGGAAGTTTGCACCAAATGTTCAACATCAATTAGAGAAATGCAAATCAAAGCCACTCTAAGAGTTCATCTCACTCCAGTCAGAATGGCAGCTATTATGAAGACAAGCAACAATAAGTGTTGGCGAGGATGTGGGGAGAAAGGCACACTCATACACTGCTAGTAGGACTTTGAAACTTTGGGACTTTTCATTTCAGAAAAATGTCCCTTATAACTAGCCTGCAATGGAGGGGAGGCCACCCAAGGGTGGTCAGCACTTGGAAGGAATCGCTGGCTTCCAGAGACACACAAGTAGAACTGGTCTGAGGACAGAGGGGCAGCAAGCTGCAAGACAAGAGAGGCACACAGAGTCCCCTCTGAGCTAAGCCCCAGAGAGGAGGCTTATGTCTCCCTCAGGCACAGGCCAGCGGTCCTTGTAGAATGGACCAAAGAGCTATGGGTCCAGAGGAGGGATGGGCCCTACACCTTAACCCGGAAGGCCTGAAGCCCTGGAGTCCCCACCCACCATCCCACAGTGTGGCAGAAACGAACCTGAGCCTTGATACTTGCTTCTTTCCTTCTGCACATCATCCAAAACCTCATGGTGCATCGTCGCCCAGGACTGAAGCCACAACACTGGGGCCTATTCTGCCATCGTGCAGTATTTCCAAACTGCTGTCCTTCAGTTTTTCTTTTCCTTCATCTTCTCTTTGTCTTATTCTTGCATTTCTCTCTTTCCTTCAAATATGCTTTAGGTCATATTTGAACAAAGCAGGAAATATTAAATTCTCAAAGATTAATTCTTCATCAAATATTTGCTAAATGGCCTCCATGCTTCAGAAACTGTGTTGGGCAATGGAGTGCAGCACGTGAAGATAGCAGCAGGGCATTATTAACCTTGACCTTTGAAAAGCCCTGTGGAAAACGAGGGCTAACTATAAGTGGATCGTTACAGAAGGGCTCATAGATGCTGAAGAAAATATGAACCCATGATGATGAGAGCCTGGAAAAGGACAATTAATTTCTAGTTTTGACCTCCAAGAACTCAGGGCAGAAGTTATCATGTGAGCCTCCTGCAAGAGTAGGAGTTCATCAGTCCAAGAATGGGGTGGCAGGAAAATGGAGGTATTGCATGCAATCAGGCCAATGCAAAAGCAAATAGCAGTAAAGAGAAGATTCTGTGAGCAACAGAAAGAAATCCAGTACAGCTGCAGTGAGACATGAGGATGGAACTGTGTCTGGCACAGTCCTGTAGGTTCAGATTAAATGCTCTAAATAATTCAGATCTAGCTTCACACATGCCACTACCTCAGTCGCTAGTTTTCTTTCCTCTGAAAAAAGGGGAATTACTACTAATCTTGGATTCAGGTCTGTGATCCTACGATGCGATGTTTCTACTTGTCAACAGAATCTCTGGTTTCTTCCAATATGTGGATGTGCACCTATTGGCCTAATCACTGTAATTTTGAAGAGCACAGTGAACCATCTGTTGCCTCAACAGGACCCACAAGCAGATCTCTCCCCTGAAACCTGAGCAAATGTTAGGCCCAAACCTGGTCTTTACATGTAGTGGAGGATGAAGCAGGATGATTTAAAAGTTAATAACTTCAAGAAGAAGTGCAGTAATGAATATTGGATATCCACAGGACCTTGCCAGCCCTGTAAGGTGGTATTCAAAATGCAAGAAGCATACATTATAGATACCTGTGCACTCTACCAAGTCCTTCCCCTTGTTCTTAGGGACAATAATAGAAGATTCAGCAGAAGACCTGTGAAGTTTTATACGACAGTTAAGAGCCCTATCTCTGAAGCCAGCCCTTGTTCCCAAGCAACCAGCCAGCCTCGCTGTAGCTCAGACTTGTACATGTCAGAAAAAAGAGTTCCAAGCTCCACATTACAGATCAGAAAACTTCTTAGGAGGCCTAGGAAAGGAGGCCTAGAATGAGTAATGAAGCAAATGGTAGCTTCTTAGTGTTAAACCTAGACTTCTGAGAATCAGTGTGAAAGAGATAGTGTGCCTGGGACCTGGAGGCAGGCAGATCAAGGCTGGAACTCCTGTGTTGCACTTCCTGTAGGATCAGAGGTTGGCAGGATGGTAAAATTGACTGCATTTCTTAGGTAACTGGGAATCAAGAATCTATCGCCAAGGGTTGCCATAAGGATGGGGTAATCCATGTGAAGGGCTTCACATGGTTCCTGGTATGTATGATATCCAGTCTAACATTCCATTGCATAAGGCCTACTCTCTGTTCCTCCAGTGAAGTGCAAGGGAGATATTGCACACATAGAAGGTGTTAGGAAGCTAGCATAGAAGATCAATTAGAAATAACTAAATGGTCCCTGGAAATGACTTAGGAAGGTGCATGGCAGAGACAAAAAATTCTTTACTAACTCCAATGCAGTTGGCTTCTTGCATTTTTGTTTTGTTTTGTTTTGTTTTGTTTCCAATCCAGTAAAGCAACAGGTCACTATATATATAGTTGACTATTGGATGAAGAATGGAGTTTTAAAACTTCGGCTTTTAAAGAGGAATACAGTCAGTCACACTAGTGAATCCCAGAGCCAGAATTCATGAAGCCACATCACAGGCAACGAGTCCATAGTGATGATGGCCAAGTTCAAGGTGAACCTGGAAGTAGTTAGTAAGAAAGGAGAGAACTGCAAAAGGCGGGTGGGTTTGTGGTCCATCTAAAGTCTGTGAGACTTTGCAGGGACAATGTATTGTTGCAACAAACAACTTCCCCTGTCCTGCTCTCCCTCCACTCCTGGCCTCAGGCACTCTGTCTCCCTGGCCTGAAGCCTGGAGGCTGGAGGACAAAGAAGAGGTGTGGAAACCAGATACTGGTCATCTCAACCATTGAAATTTAATTCCAAAGTCTGTGGCTCCCATTCTCCTTGGGCACATCCTAGAAGTGACTATTCTACAAGACGGTTTTCCCCAAGCTTAGGTATCAATGTAGGTGGTCTCCAAAGAGAGTAGTTGCACATGAGAACAAATAACCCACTATGGCCTTAAGGCACTAAATGTTAGAGTGGTCTGCTTTGTAGGTATGTACCTGAAACAATTTTGCCCTCTTCAGTATCTCAGAACTAAAAAATGCAATTTACCAGTAAATATGATGATAGTATTGGAAAGTTCTCAGATCTTCAATGCTCCTCAGATGTGACCAAAGACACCAAACTCTTTCTGGTTTAAAATGCAACTTTGTATGAAACACAAATTCATCTTTTTCTTTTCTTCCCAATTTCAAATTCTCTATGATAAAATTTGTTTGAAAATAACCTAGTTCAAATAATATATTATTATATGGCCAAACCTCCAGATGCCCAAATTAAAATGGATAGCCAACCTACTCCTTGTTTCCAAAACCTGTGGTGGCAGTAGCCCAGAGTGGGGCATAAACAGGGCCTGAAGCCACAACTACCAGCTGTGCTTTTCATTGTCAGCATGAACGATGGGAAATCACTTGACCTCATACAAGTCCTTTGCTTCCTCATCTGTCAAAAGAAGATAATAATAACAATGCACTACCAGGTATCCTGGCCTCTTTACAACTTTATTTTGAGGACCAAATTAAAAATGCAAGTGGAAAAAAAACACTTTTTAGATTGTAAGATATTTAAAAATCAAAAATATTCAACAGATCTATCTTTATGATGTTAATGGTAAAAAAAAAAAAGAAACAGAAACTTCTGATGACAATGAAGATTTTAAAATACAAAGGTAGCATCAGTCACATGCTGCAGCACAGGTGTGGATCTATAAATACAAGGCCAGGGGATTTGGGCACCTCCAATCCAATCACAGATGGTCAAGTGTGATTTTGCCCAGGGAAAGTAACCCCTAGCTCCCAGATCTTTTTGTTATTGTCAGAATGGAGACACGGGGCCCAGAGAGAATCCAAGAGCAAGTCAGCGTGACGTAACTATCTCCAACTCATGAGAATCTCAAGGAGCTCACATGACTATTCCCACTTTACTGAGTCCAATGCGCACATCTGTGTTTTAACATTTAACATTCTAAAATCCAAATGACTCTCATGGAAGGGGTCTTAAAATCACTGCCTGCAAGGGAGTGGTCAGGTTTCAATGGTCAATGACCATATTCCTGAACTTGGACTGAGCTGTTTCTGTCATTCTCACTTCTGTGTCTACAACAATAGAGGAAAGCTCTTTCACGGGTTCCAAGTGCCCTTCTGAAGTGACAAGGCTGCCTGTGCCGTCACAGGATGACAGGGTTTCCCTCTCTCCCCGTCCCCCTCCTCCTTTGATTTCTCCTCTTCCTTCCTGCCTCTTCATGGTGACTGCATCGTGGCATTTGTACCTAGGGGTGTCCTAGCTGTGATGAATCGCATCAGGGATACAGAGGGGCAGCTGAAGTGCACCAAGTTTGAAGACTTCCAGTCCCTCCTTGGCCAGGTGAGGAATAGCTTCTAGTTGTGATTAAGATCCCAAATGCCTCTCTCTAAAGGAGACACCTGTCACACAAGGGCGCCCCAGCAAGAGGGTTTCTCACGGGAAACCAGGAGCCCCGAGGCTGGGCTTCTACTTTCTACACCTAAAGGTCTGAGCAGCGGGTTGAAAACCTCCGGGACATTGAGGATGCTTGGCCAAAGTAGACCCTCCCTGTGGACTCGGGAGAAGACCCCACACCACCTGGGTGATCTCCTGGCATTTCTGTCCTTATTCCAGCCTCTGCCTAGCCCCCAGCCTGGCTCCACAGGGCAGGGCGGAGCTGTGCCTTCTCTCCACCCGTCCACCCTGTCTGAGCACTAGATGAGCGCTGCTACTCACCTTAAACCCGCTGTCCCTGCCAGTCCCGCCGCTTTCCTGGAGGGCAACTCCATTCAGGCTGCATTTTCCTGGTTCTCCTTCAGCTGATTCAGCTTGGGCTTAACCAGTGCAAGAGACCGAGGTGGGGGGATGCAGCTGGGGCATCTCCATCCTCTCTGCCTCAAATGGTATCCTAGCAGCAGCTGGCTCTCTACCCTTGTCTCCAGATCCCTGCCCCAGGGAAGGTCACCCTGTTCCACCTGACCCCAGCCCCTTGGCTTTCGCCATTCCGTTCTTCCAGACGGATCCTACTCTTCCCAGTGTTCACATGGCCTCTCTGGGCTCTGGTTGGCTTCTCAGCCCTTCATCCCTTGAAGGTTCCTTTCCTGGTTGGACTGTGATTAACACTCATGGCTCTGCGTCCCCAGAATGACCATGAGTGGCTGGGTATCAACAACTCCAACTCAGCATCTTTGTTCACTTACATTTGAGTGGGTACTTGATAAATTGTTGTCCAGTTAAACTGAAAACATCTGATATGAGATCTAAGCGGACCAAACTGATATCCTGTGAAGGGGCTGTTCATTTAAAATAGGGATATTTGCGACTATAGTTAATCTAAGACTTGATTTTTAAATATCACACATTCATGCCATCTCCAAGAGCTCGGGAACCTGCAGCATCACTTCCTCGGAATCAGCCACTGTAATCGAGGGAAACCCCTGGGAGGCACTGAAGGAGATGACCTGCTGTCCTCCACTAAGTCCTGCAGTGGGCCGTGCTGGGTCCATTTTACAGAGGAGGAAAGTGAGGCTCTGAGATGTTGACGACTTGCTCCAAGTTCACACGCTTAGCACATAGCTGAGTTAACATGTGACCCTGTAATTCTAAAACTTTAGGGATTATAAGAATCAAGCATTTATTACAAATGGAAAGTCCTACCAGTGCGGTGGCCCACACCTGTCCTCCCAACGACTCTGGAGCAACTTAGTGAGGTCCTATGCCACTTAGTGAAACTCTGTCTCAAAA